AATCTTGGTTCATCGCGTCGTCGTAGGCGGCGTACCGTGCTGCAATTTCTCAATGTGCATCAGTTTCTCGATTGGAGCAGAAAAACCCATATAAACGTAGACACAGCCAAGACTCCATGACAGGCGGCATAAAATCTTTTCCGTTTTTTCAGCACTAGAACTGAAACAGTCGGGCAAGACAACTCGTCCAGTGGGCGTGTTGTCGCACGCCACAGTCATCACCGCGGTCATCTACAATTCCCTCGTCCCTTCACGCAGCAATCAGCGTTAACGCGATTATGCCAGACAAGAAAGATCTTATTGAAATCACGCTCATCATCACTGGTGATTTCATTTACGATGCATCTTGAACAAAAGCGGTCTTCAACCTGCTGATACAATGTGGTTCACTCACGATCTGACTCGGTGTGATGGGCGCAGTGGTTGTTGTGGTTGTGAGCGCGTTGCTCGTTGTCTGACGATGAGCACCACGTGATTTGTTGTGCTGATTTCGTTTCTTCCTTCTCACTTCATCGGCATGTGGTTTCACTGGGTCTGACGGTGGCACGACGTGGCGGATCTCAGGATGCAGCGGATGTATCTCAAAGTTATTCGTCGTCTGGAACCAGCTTTATACAGCCCTAGAAAAAATAGTAGTAAAAAACAGGTGACTTAACCTTGCGTTGAGCGTGGACGCTGCCGCTCACATGTGCAGCATGATTCGAGCGTAGCATGAGCATCGACAGAGCGTTTGGGAAGGTGATTCCCGGTGGTGGACCGGCGTGAGGACGAAGTGCTGGGGGTACCGGGTAACCGTACTGCGCCCGCGGAATCTGCAAATCCGTCGTTTGAAGCATCCAGTCACATAACGATACCGACTTATGAAGCGAAAAGATCGTACCTGAGGAGGAGTTTGAGAACCAGGCGGTACGGGAAAGAGCTTCGAGAGCACTGGACTCAGCTCCATCGCGTCGAGATATGACCGACGATCAATGCCCTTTATCACTATATCAATGGTGCCACGTTGCATTTCTCGCTTAAACTTGCTATTGCTGAGAAATTCGGAAGTTTCACCGGAACCTAAGAATAGTTAGAAGGCATGGGTTACTACATGCCAACTACGGATGCTATGTGACTTCCTTTTACGGCTTCTTCTTTCGACCTCATTACACTATCGATATGTAGCCAGATTTTCTGACCTTAACGTGTTGAATTTTTTATGCCCCTGACATGATTTCACTTCATATTTCACTGTCTTTACTGCGCCCAATAGAAAGTAGCTCTGCATTTCGAGTAACCTAGACCACAGCCTTTGGACCATTTGCCAAATGCTACGATTGAATATGTGACGCAAGTGCTCACAAGAAAACTACTTGTAAGCACAGGCATGGGATGAGTATGTACCTGTTCCGAATGATGAATGAATGAATATCGTAGCGAATCTGTACAAGACTGTCAGTCTACATGTTGCCCCTGCACGTGTAACTGTCTTCGGCGCGTTTCCCACGTGAGTCTGCGTTCATACTTTGCAGCAGGGTCCACCAGTCGCCCGCTAAGCGTACCTAGCGTCGGTAGCGGTCAGCGACTATGAGAAAGCCTCGAATATACGATCTGCGTTTCGAGCGTCTATCAGCGTCCACCAGCGTAATCTCACGTCTACTCGAGCGTGCCACGTCAGGCAACCGGGACGAAGTAGAGTATGATGAGTATGAGGGCGAGCAATACAGCTGATTCGGTGCGGTTATGACAACTGTGGCTTGTTGCGCACGCCTGCCGCAAAACGTGGCGGTAAAGCAAAGAAACGAGGCAGATCATGTAGCAGTGTGGACGGTTGCAACACGGGCAAATTCATGAGCCTAATGCGCGGCTCTTTTGTTTAAGCCATCCTTTTTCCACGATGCTCCCTTCTTCCGGTCCGTGTGAACGCTGGCAACGCTAACGGGTTTCCTATACTTCTCTAATCACTCGACACTAGCGACCTGGTTGGCGGGTGAGTTACGGGTTTGTGCGTGGTAGGCGGGTTCGGGAATCATCTAGTTGTCGCTGGTGGGCGCGGTTAAGACGCTTGGTGGACGTGCTAGCTGCTACTACTAATAAGCAGTGATGTTGACAATCTGTTGGAGTAACGTCCCAGGTCATCTCAAGAAGGCTGATAGTTCTTCAGTACAACAGACAGATCGCGCCACTGACGGCATCAGTGCATCTCACTCAACGACTAAATCGACGGTTTCTTTGCCGGGCTCAGTCGTGCTCCCGCTAACCCTACTCTTCTTTTGAGAGAACTTTGTGTAAAGCAACAAGTCATCTATCAAGTTGCCTCGAAGTAGCGGTCGTTTTCTTCTTTCACTAACGTGTTTAATCCCGTGAAGCATTTTGCGGACGGACAGACATACAAACACATACATACCGACAAACCGACACACAGAGTTAGTGGTTTATAGAATGTAAGGATTGAAATGGAGTGTCGGGCAAATGTGAGCTTCGACGAATACGTTTCGCATTTGATCTTAGCTCTCAAATGGAAGAAGAAGGTCGAACCATGTGATGCATATGAACAAGGAACGATGCTTTATGCTTTCTAGGACGGCTTATGACTGGTTCAAGGGAAACAGAGCTGGAGGTTCGGCCCTTCAAATGTGCATCCCATGGGGCGCCCTCTTGGGTATCGGCTGCCTACAGAACCACCCACCAAGTTTTTCACCTCTCCCTTCAAGTGAAGGTGATGCTCAACAAGGATGTGAAAGCTTTCCACGGCTTCTACCATGTCCCCATTCTTTGGCATGAATCTTCGTGAATAAGGTTATTTCATTGAGCTCGCAGTTGGAATTGAAATCCTTGAGTAGAATAAACCGTTACAAGCATTTCCAGGAGACTTAGCCTCTCGCTCACACACTGAACGAATAGGTCTGTGCGGTCTCAGCTATTTGTTATTTAGATGTAAAGAAGAGAAGAGCTTTGCCCTTATTTCGCACCAACATTGCTGTTCGTCACCATTTTCTTTTATCTGTACCCCTTCGCAGACTTCTACTCGCCTTTTCTGGTCCACAATCCATCTTCGTTGCCTACCCACCTCTTTCGCCTTTTTGTCTTTTATTTGTTGAGAGCCTCAGTTGTGGCTCATAAAGTCATCCATTAGACCACACGAAGATAAACAACGTTCACACATCGGAGGATCTTTTCTGCTTACTTCATTTATAACCAAACACATATACTTTCTCGCATATAGCTCGTTCGGGATCGTAGCATTGAGTGTCTGGAGATGACTGCAAATGAAAGGTGATCGTATGCTTGGACTCACGACCTGTCACAACTTTCTCTTTCCAGTTGACTCCCTTCTCACTCTGGAGATGGCAAAGAGGAGCGCCAACAGGCCTCGAAGTATGACTGTCTCCGCCCACCCCCAACCATAGTGCACTCACAACCTACTGGTTGGGAACTTTGAGTTACCATTTAGTTCTAGCCATAATGCTGGCGAAGCAAAAATGATGCACCAAGATCTACTATATAACCCTGCAAGCCACAGTAAATCTGATCCACGCAGCGATGGCTTCTACTGCTGTACATTGCTGCTCACCAAATTGCAAAATCTTTGTGCTTACGAGGTTGTGAGGTGGAAGCTTGTTAGGTGGCTCGACGGTGTCGATGACGGCGAGATCGACGCACTGTAACTGCGCGACGAACAGCAACTGTAATGTCTGTAACGCGCGCGTCGACCGCGCTATATATGCAACAAAGCTTCAGAGCTAAGACGGAACGCCAGCCGCAACGGCCGGCGCTGAGCAGCAATGGCCAGGCCGTTGGGTGTTCGCGATAGAGCATGGAGAATCAATGAACTGTAGATGATTGACAGTTCTTGCCTAGAACTGACGTCCTGCATGACCCTTTCTTCGGGATCGGGACCCGTCCGTTTGCAGCTGCGTGCGCGTCTACAGAATTCAAGCGCTGCTGTAATTGTGTTGAGTTACAGCGTGTCGACGCGCATCATCGTGAAGTCTGAACGCTGCCTACCCCACCAACATCCCGCTATAACTAACATTTAGCGATTTTGGAGACAGCACGTATGCCGAGGTTTGCAAATAAGAGAGAATGTGGGAAGTTTGCAGTGTTTTTTGCGTAGGCAATAAGCAGAAAAGCAGCATTCGGCATAGATGTTATTGATATTATATTATGAGTAATCTCCAAGACTGCATACTGGGCAGTTTCCTAAGTCACCACAGCAAGAGTTGGGTAGCAGTCCCTTTACTCTTCCTTGGCAGGCTGAAGAGTTGAACGCACAAATGGAAATTTATTTGATAATTACAAGAAGATGAGCGCACAACAAAGAACAACTCGTAGAACAACAAATTTAACAAAAAATCCCATTGATCAAAATAACTAATAACTCGTTGAATAGAAACCGAATGAGATCTTTCACTATCCTGCAATCATACAATAAATTATTTCATAGCTCCTGGTTCGATCTTTACAAAAGAGGCAGAAGAAGAGAAGTAGGTTGACGATGAAGTGACGGTCTTCTCAAGAGCAGTTGGATTGATGATTTCAAGCCCTTGAACAGGAGTGAAAGTTACTGACGACGCCGTACCAGCAGTCTAAACAGAGTTCTTTGACGGCAACAAAACATTATTTATACTTACAACCTTTGGAGGCAATAATGGAGTTTGGGCTTCATTACGTCCATTCAAGGAAGTTTATGAAAAACTAAAGTCCACTTCGACACAAGCATAAATAACCTTGCTACGGATGCTGGTCACTCCTCCTTGGGCTCGTTGTCGTTCCATTTGACGTTGCATTTTCTGAGACATCTTCACGCGAGTCTTATTATCCACGACCCCAGCTCTGATTCGACCACCAGCCACGTTACCACTTTTCACCTGTGTTAGACAGTAATTCACAAGTTGCCGCCACATAAATATAGTGAATACTACAGTTCGCCGCGGACGAAGGGGCTTGTCAGGCAGCATGAGTGTGCCACGACGCCAAACCTGTCTTCTGCTGGTTGTTGAAGCGGGCAGGCGACAACAGTTGGTAGAAGAGTTATACGAACGATATGACACAGTCTAGTCACTTGCTCGCTTCAACAATTGGTGGAGAACGGGCTTGGCACCGCCCAGACGCCCAATTGACGCGCCCCTTCGCTGCGAAAGAAACTGTAGTTTGCTGAAGAAGAGTTACGTTACAGCTTCCAATGAGATTTTATTTACAATCTTGATAACTCACGGCAACCAAGACTTGCATGTATTCACTGAAATTCCCTTATCCTATCTAAGAACTCATTCAACCATAGTATAAGAGTAGGTGTGAGACGGGTTCTTTGTGGAAGGATGCCGTCCACGACAGCTTTCTCTTCTGTCAAAAATGAGAAGGTAATAAGCTGAGGGGTAGAGGCCCCTCTGCTTCATATCGCGGTAAGTTGCTTTCGCAGCACGAGTGAGTCTTCTATTAGCAAAACAAAGAGACGCAGAGGTTGTCAAAGTCGCAGTAAGTTTGACATTTCCGGCATTCCCACTAAGTTCCAAAACAGAACATACGGAAGGTCTAGCAGCTTTGGTAGGGTGTGCGGGTTAACGACAAACCCCGCAAGTTACAGACCTATAGTCGCACAGTCGTAGCAGTTGACTCTCTCTCTCTCTCTCTCTCTCTCTCTCTCTCTCTCTCTCTCTCTCTCTCTCTCTCTCTCTCTCTCTTCTACTCACTCACACTCACTCACTCACTCACTCACTCACTCACTCACTCACTCACTCACTCACTCACTCACTCACTCACTCACTCACTCACTCACTCACTCACTCACTCACTCACTCACTCACTCACTCACTCACTCACTCACTCACTCTCTCTCTCTCTCCAGGGGAGAACAAGCGAAGAGAGCCATTGGAGAACACTCAAACAAGGGAATGGTTTGAACTTCCCATGGAACTTTGAATGGAGACCTAGGTACATCGATAGAGCCTCGAATGCTGATTACGAATATGCAGATTAAAAGTGCTACGGGGACCTCCCATTCTGGGGGGTCAAAGTTTGTGAAAACTCTGTCTGGTAAGCGGTGCTGATCGGCATTGGGCAGTGCCACCGTGGCCTAGTGGTAATGGTCTCGCTTCAAAGCCAAATGCTCGTGGGTTTGCATCCCGTTGGCGCGAAATTTTTGCTTCGTCTCCTATAAAGAGCTTTCACTCTAATTTTCGAAATTCTTCCGTGTTTACGGCCAGCAGAGCAAGTAGATCAAGTAGATCAAGTATATGACGCAGTCGATCGAGTATTGATTGATCACTATCTGCCCCTCTGAACTCATTACCATACGACAATTCGAAGTTTTGGCCAGAATCACAATTTGGCCAGAAACTCGTTTCTGGAGGTATTTTGACCCCCTGAGCACGATATCACATCCGTTTGACGCGAAAACGATCGGTTCCCTCGTTCAGTTGATGACCACAACAACGTGAAAGGCTACAAGCGTTTTCTCGCCAAACGGATATGATATTCGTTTTCAGGGGGTCAAAATACCCCCAGGAACGAGTTTCTGGCCAAAACTTCGAATTGTCGGATGGGTAATGAGTTCAGAGAGGACAGATAGCGACCAAATCCATACTCGATCGAGTACGTCATATACTTGATCTACTTGATCTACTTGCTCTGCTGGGCCGTAAACTCGGAAGAATTTATTTCGAAAATTAGAGTAAAAGCTCTTATAGGAGATGAAGCAAAAATTCCCGGGATGCAAACCCACGAGGCTGGCCCCGGCTTTGAGGCGAGACCATTACCACAGGGCCACGGTGGCACTGCCCTACGAACGATCAGCAGCGCTTAGAGAAAACTGAGTTTTCGCAAACTTTGACCGCCCAGAACTCGTCTGGGAGGTCCCCGTAGCACTTTTAATCTGCATATTCGTAATCAGCATTCGAGGCTCTATCGATGTACCTAGGTCTCCATTCAAAGTTCCATGGGAAGTTCAAACCATTCCCTTGTAAGGACACGTAACCTCACCATACAAATTCTCCCGACTTGCTAGCTTTATGCCAGCGATATACTGCCGCCTCACCAATCTTATCTTCGTGCCATCTCACAGTAAAAAAAAAGAAAAACACGTGTAAAAACTCTTGAAGAAAAGTACCCTTTAGGTTTAAGTGGGTGGGACAACTAGGGAGACGTCAGAACTCATGAGGGCTGCAGCGCCTTCGCTACTTACTGTGGAAAGGCGAAAAGTGGTAGTCTGAAAGACTGCGGACTAGACTGCTTGAAGAAGGACATGCCTAGTGGCTGAGTGCGAGACCGTCTTCAACGAATCGATGTACAAGTCTATTTTTTTAGTTTTCGTGACACCGTCGAGATTGTAGCTAGCAGAGAAAGCAACACGTATTCCACTAATTCGAAACAATATCTGTGGAAAGACAAGTTTGACAATGTGCCAACTTTTTCATGGAATGATGTGGTAAACAAATATGAGGCACAAGCTACACGCATTACTTTTTATAAGTAAACGAGAAATATCTTTCATACAGTGCTCTCTTGCAAGGCGTTTATAAGAAAAAGGCCGGAGAAAAATGATAAAATAACTTTGTTAATAATCCAACATTTTGTTACCGAAAAGTAATCCAGACGCTGCGAGACGAACAAACCTGTCCCAAATCGAAGCCCATGTGATCTTGTAGAACATCCTCTGCCAGTTCTCCGAAGTTCATACGATTAGCACTCTTACGTAAATCTGTCATGCCCATTCTCTCCTTCATCTTTCGCACACGACGTCCTGAAGGCGAATTCGGAGGGAAAAACATCATTAATCCGCCATATCGAATAAAATAGGTCAGAAAATATTGCACAAACCTCCTCTCTTCTTACTGGCTTTATCCAACGGGCTTCGGCAGAGCTTTGTTAGCTTTGACAGGTGGAGGTTCCATCAACTTTTCCATTTTATTACGTACCTGTGTTTGAAACCATAATGGATGATTGTCTTGCCAACGTGACTTAATCTAGGGAACCACTCCTGAAGTTGAGGGCAATCATACTGAGGTTCACCTACCTGCTCAAGGAGATTAATCCCAATTGCACCATTTGGAGACTCATGAAGCGAATCCACGCGCGCCGCCAAGGTGCATTTGGCAGCAAGAATTTTGGCAGCTTTCCTTCATGAGAAATTTAAGTGAAATTCCGAAAAGAATCGAATAAGACCACAATACTCACGCTTTCAGATCTGGAGGCATTGACTGAACGAGCGGATGGAAATACACGAACCCAGCGTGTGGCAAAGCAGAAGTAGACGAGAACCCCGCCAACGACTTTCTCTGCCTACCCAGAACCTGGATATTACACGCCGGCATACGTGATAATGGTGCCAGTCCTCCGGCCTGTGATACCTCAAAAACAAAAATCGCTTAGCAAAAGAAATCTTCCAGGATGATGTTAAGTTCACAGGAAAAGAATGAAAATTCAGCGTCACCGCCACACAAATGTTTCAGAATTTTTCGAGCCGGTGTTCCATGTGGAGAATTAAGCCAGATTTTGCTAGATTCAAGAGTCGCGCAGACTTGAATGAAGTGACAGTACTTCGCAAACACTGTTTACTGGCTGATTAATGTGGTTCTCAAAGACCCACCAATAACGCAGTAGTTGCAGCTCCAAGTAAATGTACGAGATTGGGAGCGATCAAGGCCATGCGAAGTTCGACCAGGCGGTACATTGAAATTCTGTCCTGTAAAACGGCGCTACTATGAGTTCATTAAAAGTGAAACAAAAATGAAAACTTCGATAGCATACCGTATGCAACTTCTCTGCCAAATCACACGCTTCTCTTACAACGTTCAACTCGTCAGGTTCCAAAGATTTGCCTTGCGTTGTTGATGCAGTAACAGAGACTACAATACATGTTGCCGGCGCAAGAATTTGCCCTAGCAGTTCCTGTAAAAAATGATGATAAAAAAACAAGGTTAGTCTCAATTGCTCTGAGCAACTCAAAGAAATTCAAGAGACATCTTCATAAGAATATTTAGTGAAAAGCCACCTTGTTCTGCCCTTTCGTATTGATTTCGTTTCCAAGAAGCTTCACTGCAGCCAAATATTCCAGCGGATTCGGCACCAATGTCTCCAATTCGGGGAACCGTTTCTCGTATTTGTCACGTACAAATTTATGGATCACATTGATCTCGCCATCAAGATCGGCAGCGAGCTGCAAGCATAAGCATAACTTGTGTAACTTTGTTTGGCACATTCACTCAAACCACCACAACAGTTTTGCTGAGCTTCGTCCAGGGGCACTCATCTCAATACAGTCATTTTTTTGGGGAGGGGGGGGAAGAAGGGGAAGGGGGCATTTTGCACTTTTGCTGCTCTACTTATTCCGCTTTACAAGTGTTACTCGAATGAAACCTGTGAACTCTTGTGAAGGGGGCAAGCTCGTCGAGCTACCTTACCAGGAAAGGTCAATAGGTCAGTCCGGCCACTTCCTATGAGGTGCACACCGTTAACGCCCTTCACGGTGAACTCAAATTTACATCTGGAATTTGCTGAACGATACTCTGAAAGAAGTTATGGAGATTTTCCTCTCGCTTTTCTCTCGAAAGCGCGCTGGCCCCCAAGCGGCTGGGGCTGTAGCGCGCGACATAACCACTTTCGCGCAAAACGGGTGTGGTATCACGACGCCAAATAACCCCGGGGACGGCACTCTAGCGAAATCTGAGATTTTTACTCAACTCCAAAAATGTTGGGTTAGTATCTTCATCATTTTCCTGATAGTAAAGGGGGGGGGTGGCCTTAATAAGGACAGTCCGGTGAAAGGTGAGCTTCAGTGTGTTCACACACTACTCATAGAACACCCCACGTTTTCGAAAGTTGAGTTGACCTTTCAGAAACGTATTAGGTTGTTCGGAAAGAAATGCGCGTTGAAGCGCGTTGAATTTGTCCATTTATTTCTCTCCTACTATAGAAGATTTTTCAAAACAGTTTTGTCTATTAGAAAGAGATTTTTATTGTGCATCTTTTGATATATTTTTGTATGTCTACTTTGCTTTTTTTGGGGAAAAAAAGTTGGGAAGAGCGGGTGCCGCACCAGCTGAGCGACGCAAACAAGGCAACACGAGTGGCAATGGCCGGAATTCTTCTTCGTCGCTCCAAGAACAGCGGTTTTTTCGACTCTATTGTTACATCAGATGAGACATGGATCTGCTACGACAACGCAACGCGAAAAAGACAGTGGTTAGACGCCGGTGACACTCCGAAAACCGGATATACACGGCAAAAAGGTGATGCTCTGTGTTTGGTGGAACAGCAAAGGTTTGGTGTACTTTGAAGTACTGGATTCGGGTCAAACAGTTACGGCGGACATCTACAAAGATCAATTGAACCGCGTGGATCAAGCACTGCGTCGTCAAGGTGTCGAAACGACGTCGACAAAATTCCTCCACGACAACGCTCGTCCACATGTCGCGAAAATCACTTTGGAAAAAAAAATTGAGGAATTGGGCTGGAAGTCCTGCCTCATCCGCCATACAGCCCAGACCTGGCACCATCCGATTACCATCTGTTCCGGTCGATGCAGCACTCCCTGGCCGAGAGAAAGTTCACAAACCGCGAAGAAGTCCAACTCTGGGTGTCCAACTACTTTGAGTCGCAGCCGGCCGAGTTCTTCGAAAGAGGAATCCATTCTTTGCATAAACGTTGGCAACAAGTCATTGATAGTAATGGAGATTATCTTTTGAATTGATCTTGTTTAATTTCGTTTTTATAATAAAAATTTTTTAGACTCAAACGCGCATTTCTTTCCGAACAACCTAATATATCTAGTGGTAATTTGATCCGCTGAACATGAATATCCCAGTAATTGAGTGCAAAAACCTTTGTGATATGCGTTGCGAGAGGGACGAGCACAAGCACCCTTTGAGGCTCCGAGAGGTCTACCTTGGTGAAAAGCTGATCTCAGGTCCTCTGGCAAGAAGCGGCGAGCAGATATGTTTTGTTGCCCATGTTCTTGGAAAAAGCAAAAGAGCGTGGAGACTTGGGAACTGAACCCGTGATCTCGTCCTCATCAAACCCGATCGCTTCCAGTTGCGCTCCACTGCCACGTTTCGTTATCCTGTCCTCACATATTTGACGCTTTCACAACTTCATCAGATAGCATGTGAAACAACAGGGTGGGGATAAACCCCTCCATAACTCTGTTCAGAGAGTCGTTCAGCAAAGTCCAAAGAAAGTTCTGAGCTCAGCGTCACAAGACGTGTACAGCGGTGTGGATCATACTGCAGATGGCCGGTCTGACCTATTGACCTTCCCTGGTTATAAAACTCGTCAACTCTTGTAAGCTCATGAAACCCTATCCACACGCGAATGGGAAGTAGAAAAGGCGCAAGAGGCGCAGACTGTCCCTCCCCACCTCTCCCCCCGCCAAGCTGTGCCTGTTTTCTATGGGCAGTCACAAAACAAAAGTATGTTTTACATGTCTCATGTCTACATGATTTCGCTGGTTCATTAGTTTGACTCAAGGCCATACCCCAGTATTGCCGGCTTCATAAGGAGGATTTAGGCTCATATCTTGCGCTAATGATCCTATTTCACATGAGCAAACCATATAACGAATAATAACGCGAAACTAGTAAAAAAAGAAAAAGAGATCAGTAAAAAGGAAAGATAATACTAACATGTGAGAGTTTCACAATCAATTTGTACTGCGGATCAGCTTCAAGGGGAGCAGTTACGCGAACTTCGTCCGTTCTTTCTAGTTCAGCATGAAGAGATGCCATTAATTCGCGATACCTAAAACAGTAGACTGACACAAAACCAAAAAACCTTGCAAAAGCACAGATAAATCGAAAACATACAATCTGCAAGAAACAAAGACTGAAACTTACTCGTCCGTTAATGTTATCTTGGCCACATCATACACAGAATTATAGTCGCTTTTCCCAGCTGCGACTTCAGTTGCCTCTTCAATGTCGTCTTCACCCTTTATAGCCTAAAAACATGGAAACTGGACAGCTGAGGGAAGCAAATTAGGCACCCAAATCTCTCAAGAGAAATAGAAAAGGAAGAAAGAAAGAAGGAATCAAGGAAAGCCTAACCTCCATAGCTTGTTCCAGTTCGTCCGCTTCATCTTCTTCGAAATCGGCCATAAGTTCCTCCGCGAGCGACATTTTTGGCTTGTATCAAAGAAGAAAGATGTGCGAAACCTGTACTTGTGATATTCATCAATAGTAATCCCAAAGCACTCAAGCCTGTTTTTGGATCACGAGCTAATAATATTCCACATTCTCAATCGATGATCACCCCAAGCTTTGAAGTACTTCAGAGAAGTGTATATCAATGCCAGGGGAACGAGCTGGTACGCGGACAAGCTTTAGGAATTGTTTCACATTTGCGACTAGATTTGTTGCGATCTACGAAAGCATTCCAGAAAACATACCACCTAGATAAAAATTATACCAGCAGAAAATAGAAAATAATGAAGACTACACTAGATATGATACAAGGAACTGGGACGGGCTTATTTCGCCAAAACATACCAGAATGATACAGGCACAACAAAGGTGTTCTCTCGTAAATGGCCTTTTGAAACGGACACATGTATAACCGTTACTGAAGAAGGATTCCAAGGAACTACTGCACCCTGGACGAGTTCCTGGCTCAGAAGCTAAAGGCAAAACCATCTCTTACCATTAGATATCGAACAGGATGAAGAGGAGCAGTTAGTCTCGGAGGGGCCGCCTAATAGTATTCAGCTGAATTTTTGTACAGGCCACCTTGTGAAACCTGTCAAACTTTACCAATTCTAAGCAAAATGAGACCCGCTAATCAAGACTGAACTGAAAAAAGCAACTAGCGAAAAGTGCCCCTCCAAACGAGCGAGCATCCTGGATGAAACTCAAGAATTCAAGGTGAAACGTCAGGAAAGGCCCGAACGGGAGCTATTAAGCACATTTTCATTCCGCAGTGGATGCGACATGAATCCTAGAGTAAAAAGGAAGTCAGAAAATGGAAAATTAAGCAAGTATCAATCGCATAAACCGTTGCAATTCGCACTCATGTATAAGCCGCACCTCCGCCTTTAACGCTACTATAGGGTTAGTAAACACATCGCTCTCGTTTCATGTCGTAAACAAAAATACCAACAAAATATTTTCGATAACAGGGGTCGAAATAAAAATGAATGAAAACTATTGCGGAAAGTACAGGCAGAAGAGCGAAAACTGTTGCAACCGTGACCAGATATTTTAGGGTGCGTACTCGCTTGAGTCTCAGCCAACCTTTAAAGACACATGGTACGCTCAAACACATTGAGGGTGTATGAGACTATCAGCCCCCCAGCTGTCGATGTGTCGTGGTCCCCGCCCAAAACTGCACGGGGTCAGAGTACGGGGCCGTGGGAAAAGTCGTAATTCCTTGCTACACCGCCCTCACGTTTATGCTAACACCATCCGCGCGGCGCGGTCGCGTGCAGCTCTCTTGGCTTTTTGCCAAGTCCTGTAATTGCGCTTTGGAATACAAGTACAACGCAATTTCTTTATGCGGATAACATTTTAGGTTCTGCAAAATAAGAACTGAAGATGATGACGAGGGCTAGAACTCAAGAGCAACTGTGCTGCTTCTGCAATATCCCTCAGAGGCCGCGCATTCCCACAGAACATGACAATAAAAACGGACAACATGACAATAAAACATGACAATACAAGCAAAACGCAATTTCCTAACATTTGAGGTATTGCTCATGCTTCAAAGTCCGAATAGAAGGTGATGAAGATGACAAAGGCTAGAAATGAACAACAACGAATGTAGATGTAAATAAAACAAAATTGAAAAAACTAAGGAAACGCAATAAATTAAAATCGCGTGTGCATTTCTGCGATCCGGCTCGAATGCTATAGAAATACTTCAAACTAACGAGTGGGACGCTTAGGCCGTTTTTATTTTGATGTTTTGTGGGAATGCGCGGCCTGCGAGGGCTGTTGCAGAAGCAGCACAGTTGCTCTTGAGTTCTAGCCCTCGTCATCATCTTCAGTTCTTATTCTGCACAACTAGAATGTTACCCGCATAAAGAAATTGCTTTTGTACTTGCTATTCCTACCGCGCAAATTACAGGACTTGGCAAAAAGCCAAGAGAGACTGCCACGCGACCGCGCCGCGCGGACGGTGTTAGTAAAAACGTGAGTTTGCAAAAACGGGCGGCGTAGCAAGGAATTACGACTTTCCCACGGTCCCGTACTCTGACCCCATGCAGTTTCGCGGCGGGGCGATCCACGACACCATCGACGCTGGGGCCGTGATAGCTCATACACCGCTCAACGTGCTTTAAGCGCCCCTACATGTGCCTGTTTAAGTCGCCTTAACCGTGGCTTATAGTAGATAAGGTGGCCTCTTATCTCACGAACTAAGAGGTACCCTATTCCCTCAATTACAACCGAACTTCAAGGATTACGCGCTCAAACAGAAATAGTGATTGAATAACACGCACACCTTTTAGCGAACGATAACAAAATTTACTGAAGTTTTATTCAGAATGCTTTACGTAAGAAACATAATTTAATCTTTCATCTATACATCAATCTTCAAGAGATATAAGGCAACTTGCAATGGAAATATTAAAGTAATTAACCCTCGGGGATCAGTGAAGAGGTGATTTCTTAAAAAAATTATTTACAAATCAGCTCACTAATATGTAACAGAAGCAGAAGATCCTAGGTATAAAAATCGAAGAAAGAACTTGATTAATCAATTGACCAGCAATCACTAAGAAAGCGATGTGAATAGCTTCTGTGTCCGCAACGAGAACTGGGAGAAGTGCGCAATATGCAAACCGTAAAGATCAAAAGAATATTGTCAAGACAAAAAAATGTGAGAATGGGCACAACTGCCATAAAGCAATTAGCATCTGATATAAAAGATGCGCCGCCCAGCAATGCCTAAGACAGAACGCTTTTGGGAGAAAGGTTTGACCCGAACGATGTACAACAACTGAAACAACACTAGAAATTGGAAGACGATACAAGGGGGAAAACTGCACAGAACTCATCCAAAGAAGCAAAGGATAAATCAGGAGTTCAAAGTTACGTGAAGAAAACAGCAGATCTCTATTGAAACTGTGGTACGCTCATTGAGTGTACTGCCAAATGTCTCTCTCCGTGCCCTCCTGACAATGTTTCAATAACACCAGACGACGCTGATCCACGTAACGATAATTATCTTGTACCTGTGAAAACGCATTCTAATAGCTCTTTGCTCACATGAACTAGCGATTTATCCACTACAAATCACTATAATGCAATTATAATAAAACTTATGAGATACCTTTTGCTTAAGAGTGACTAGATTTTCATTCTCAAGATCTCGTTCAAGAAACTGTGAGAGTTGCTCCGTAGCCATTTCGAGATCCTACAAGAAAAAGCTCGTGTCATAATAATGGAAGAAGATCGAACGAATTACCCTCTGGTTCCCTTCGAAGATTTCGGCGTGGTTATCTCTCTTCAGATAGTAAGCAAATGCATAAGTATACATAAGTGTTCGACGGCACTCCGAAAGGACGTCCACGGCTTTTCTCAAGAATTGGACCTGAAAGTAAAACGTGATTTATCGTGAAAAAGTAGGACGAAAAACGTACAAACCTCAATCCAAGACATCGACTGTAGCTGCATCTGCTCCATTTTTCCCTTGACGGTAGCGTAGAGCTAAACAAGATAGACAGTACAAATTTGAGGAAGTTCTCATCACATCAAACTTTCTACGATGATTAGCCGATCACCGACTCCGGAACGACTTATGTCTCGGTAGAAAGACTTCAGGACAAATTCCTATGGTTCAGCACCTCAGTTCTACCCTTTCCGGCTAATTAATATGAGATAGTAAGGCTTGATAGCTGGTAACGAACGTGTTCGAGAATGTTAGCTACATGACAGTCAAAGATCATGGCGATAATAGATAAGGCCATTTCTGCCAAACTCGAACGCGCAACTTTCCAACAGCGCAACCCAACTCAAAAATGACTGCTCCTGTCCAAATAATAATCACATTCGATAGGACACAGAAATTGTAGGAAAACTATTTCGAAATCCTCCTCGTTGCAATTTGGATCGTCCCACTAACGAATGCTCCCAAGAGCACAAAAGTGGTAGTCTAGTACACAGGGTACAGCATGGGGATGTGCGAAATGTCGGTGTGAGTACGACCCCCCCCCCCTTCGAATGGGGTCCAGGCACGACCCCCCCCCCCCTCCACCTCCACGGCTTTTTCGCCGACGACGAGCAATGAGTCCATACCCCAAATACAGGGGGGGGGGGCAAAAAAAAAA